GGCCATGTCGGACCATCTTGGGCTCTGGTGGGATCGCCGCCGACCCGTTTGCACGGCTTCGCGGGGACTTCCATAGACCTGGAGATCTCGCGGGACCCTCGGCGCCCAAGATCCCTGGACGCCGGAGATCCCGTGTCCGGGGGAGGAGGGGTTTTTACGCACCCCCTGGATCAACCAACATATACGATACAAGTGTATGACTTACATACTCGCACACGCACATATACATATATAATCATAATTATTTACACATACAAATGCATACGCTCGGCTCCGTGACGTAGGCGCTGAGTGTAGGAGGGTCCTCAGGTCCATTTAAACCCTCCATATTGAATGTCGTGATGCTCTTCCAGGAAACAGACCCTCATTTTACGAATCTCCTGTGCGTTGTCCCGGGCCGTTTGGGGCCGGTCGCGGAACTTCCCCCCAATCCAAAGATAGTCAGGATGGCCACAAAACGTCCCAAGGGGCTCCCACGACGATAAAAGAGGGCACTGATGCCCTCATAGGCGTATTTTAATATGGCTCCGAGGCCCAAGATGAGTCCAACATGATTGAAGACTAACGGTTTGGGGGTAGTTTCGGCATGCGCTGCTTTTCGGTCTGATGAATGCCCAAGACAGCCACCCCGGGATTGCCTCTGAGATCGACACGGAACCCTCAAAAGGCTTCCGAAAAAGGCCCCAAGAGGTCCCCAATAGGCCCCGAACAAGGCCCAACGAGGCAGCCTGGAGACCCCCAAAGAGGCCCGCAAAAAGTAGCCTCCTAGATGCGTTCCCAGACACATGAGACGTGCACGAGGCCTCTGGCCAGAACTCAGGCAAGAATTGATGTGCCCCTTGCGGGGCCCGCACCCGGATTGTTTCAAGGGCAAGCCTTGAGCCTCAGACTGGGTTGTTGGCCTCCGAACGAGAACGGAGGCTCCCGCCGGATACTTCCTCACCAGTTGTTCGAGCTCGCGCTCCCTCGCAGGGCTTCGCCACAGAGTGTGCAAAAATCGCGCCATCGCCAAGAGAGTCTCTCGTAAGCCATGCAAGGCCTGTGTGGGCCCCGGAAACGGCATGCCCCCCCCAAAATGTCCCTTGAAAAAGGAAACGGCAAAAAAAATGGCTCCAAGATTGGAACCGGATCCGGAACCGGTCAAAAAACGGCGACGGAACCGGTAACAAAAACGGCGTCAGAACGGGCAAACAACCGGCAAAACGGAACCGGTAAAAAAACGGCCCTGTCGCTTCCAGGGCCCACTTCGTGCAGGACCGACGCTTCAGCGAACCGCCCGCTCGACCTGGCCGCCTGGGCCTGCCCGCCCGCCCGGCCCGCCCGCTAGGGTCCGCGCGCCGACCCGCCAGTCTGGTTCTGCCACTCGCTTCCTGTTCTTGACCCACCTCCTGCTGATCTCTGTCGTGCTCCATCCTTCTCCCTCCCGCTTGTCCCTTCCTTCCACCCTCTTGGTTCTCCAGTGCCTCAGGGGCTGCGCCAACTGCGCGCAGCAGGTCAGGACGACACAGCCCCAAAGGGGGCACGATCGAAAACGAAGCCGACGGGTACCGAAGGTTTGGGATATAAATGTTGGATGGCGCGCGAGCAAGCAAGAGCGAACAATAGATAAATGTGCGTTGTTCTCGCATTTCTAAACAACAAGCCTTTCGGATCCCCGCCGCGCGGTGCCTAGTTATTAATTGCTTTGTCACATGAAGTGCCCCTCGCGAGTTTCGTACACCGTCTTCTACAGTGGCAAGTCTTGAAGCTCAGACTGCGCCCCAGGCCACCGAACTACCACAACAGCGGTTCCTTCCTGATACTTTCTGGCACTTTCTTCCAGCTCTCGCGTAGGATTTCCTTATATGTGTCTGCATAAATCGTGTTCTCGCCTAGGGTTTCCTGTCATCTGAGTCAAACTCGCGATCTCGCGCGGCTCCCTCGCAATGCATGCAGGAATCGCGCTCTCACGGGGGACTCCCTCGCAATTTGCTGAACGCCGCAATCCAAAAACTCAGGAATCATTGTCTCACCCAGGAATTCTCTACAACTCACTTAGGAATCGCGCTATCGCTGGAGGCTTCCTCGCGCCCCATGCAGGACTGACGCTTCAGCGAACCGCCTTCTCGACACCGCATTCTGGGCCCACCCGCCGTCCGCCCGACCGACTCGCCCGCCTGGCGCTGTACCTGTTTTTCAAAATTCTACCCTCCCTCCTGCTAATTTCTGTCGTGCTCCATCCTTCTCTCTCCCCGTTGTCCCTTCCACCCTCACTTTCCCTATTTTGGGGGCTGCGCCAACTACACGTGACAGGAAAAGAAAAGCATACCCCCAAGGGGGCTGTGATCGAAGACGAAAAAGCAAGCATCGATGGTTTGGAATCGACCAAATGAGCACATGCAAGCAGATAAGAACGAACAATCTATAACTGATTGGTGTTGTTGTCGTCGCAGTCCCCCCAACCACCCACCCGCGTCCCACCCGCGACCCACCCCGCGATCCACCCCGCGACCCACCCGCGACGCACCCGCGACCCACTCGCGATCTATCCCCCGCTCGCCCCCCCTCACTCTTATCCGCAACTGCGGCGTGCAGCGCATGTTCGTACGCACGCAAACACAATGATACATATACTATGTATATACGTGTATATATGTACAAATACAGAATTACATACACACATACATACTTACATACGTACATACAACCAAACATACCTACATGCATACATGCATGCATGCATACATGCATACATACATACAGTCAGGCATACATACATACAGGTCCATTCGAGTTGCCTGTAGCCTAGTTATGGGTGTATATATATATATATATACACATGCAAGTCTATACAGGTCCAAATCTGACTTTAGTTAAGGGGCCCACAGCCCGGAGCTCACCCTGCGCTCCTCGACGCTCCTGTGAGGTTTCTCGCGTGGCATTTCCAAAGATGTAGGGGGGGGGCCATGGATGCACTCCCCGGCAGACGGGCTCAATCTCCAGCAAAGGAGTTCATTCCCCGGCAGCAGGTTCAATGCCCGGCTCAAGGGTCCAGCCCCTGGAAACCCTTCTGACTACAGTTCCCGGCAGAAGGGTCCAACCCCTGGAAGCCCTTCTGATTGCATGTCAACTAGAAAGGACCCCCCACCACTCAGAATAATCCAAGAATATCCCTTCCAATTGGGATCCGATGGGGATATACTTCGAACCTGGTAGGGAGCCATTGCGGCTCCTACCGATCCAGCTCATGTTGGGAACTTCATGAGAATCCAATCGGGTTTCGTCGATTTGAAATACCACTGGACTCGGATTGGGAAATGATCAGGTTCCTTCCTGTTTGACTCCTATTGAGCCAGATGGCATTATGTTTGAATCCGATCGGGTGCCTCCCTATTTGGTTCATATGTGCCTCCTGCTGGAATCAATCCAGAATCGTTCCTGTTAGATTCCATATCGGAAAATGATTGGGGTCCGTGTGAGTTCAGATGCACATGCTTCCTACTGGATTCCTACGGGAAGCCCAAGAGGCGTTTTGACAGGCCCAAGAGGCGTCTCGGGAGGCCCAACAGGCGTCTCAAGAGGCCCAGAAGGCGTCTCGGGAGGCCCAAGAAGACTCTCACGAGGCCCAAGGGACCTCTCACGAAGCCCAAGAGGCCTCTCGCGCGGCCCAAGAGGCGTCATAGGAAGCCCAAGAAGCCTCTCACGAAGCCCAGCAGGCGCCCCGGGATGACCAGGAGGACTATCACGATAACCAAGAGGCATCCCACGAGGCCCAAGAAGCGAACCTCTGCAGTTCGTCACAAGGAACGTTGCAGAACTAGTACATCTAGTTGAACCCTTCTGCCATGAATTGAATCCTTCTGCTAAGGATGTGCTGTTTCTCTGCACAGTGGCCTCCCGACAGGCCAAGAGGGCGCTAAGAGGCGGCCAACAAGGTCCAAGAGGCCCTAGGACGCCGAAAGACCGCTCCAGGACGGCCTCCAAGAGGCCTCAGACGCCTCAATGGGGGCTCCAACAGACTCCAAAAAGGGCCGCGAGAAGATGAATTGAGCGTCCTCGCCGTTTCGGGCTTTAGACGCTCCAAGATGGCCCAAGAGTCCTCCAAGATCGCGCCAAGACGGCCCAAATGGACCCCAGGATGCCCCCAGACGGCCAAAGAGGGCCCCAATACGGTCCAAACGCCTAAGACGGCCCCAGAGGATCCCAAGTGGGACCCAAGAGCGGCCCCAAAGGGGTAACACAAACGGACATTTCGAGACCGCCTCCCCAAGATGACTGGCCCCTAAGACCGCCAGCAGGGCCCCCAAGAGGCCCCCGAGAAGCTCAAGGAGGCCCCGAAGAGAACCAACTCAAGCCCTCAGAGGCCCCCAGGGCCCCCGAGAGGCCCCCGAGAGGCCTCCGAAAGGCCTCCGAGAGGTCCCACAAAACACCCCCCAAGCGCCCCCCACACAGCCATCACATACAAGTGGCACGCAGGTGCCCTGCGTCATCACAAAAAAAAAATGTGGGTGCAACCGATGGGGTTGCCACAGCTTGCGATGCGACGAACTGCTGAGGAGCATCCTGGTGGGCATCAACAAACAAGAGGTTCGAGCAAAGCTGGAGAACAAACACTTAGCATCAACGAATCAACGAACAACATATGCTTCTCTAACAGACATGTGCAACTTCACTGCGTCTCGCCGTTTCGGTTTGACGGTTTGCAAATACTATGCGGATGAATTGGGCAGGACACCGTTGCGAAGCCACTGATACATATTTGTCATGTGTTGGTCGAAAGTCCCTAGTGGTGCTCATCCCGACGTCGCGATCTGCGTGAGGGTGCGTCCGGTGTTGAGAGGTCCGAAAGTCTGAATATGTACCAGGCGGACCGGCCAGAACAAATCGCGCATGGGACACATCCATTGCCTCTGCGCTCTAAGCCCCCCAAGGGTGGGTGCGCATGACAATACATACAACATGCACACATTGGCACATGTACGTACTTTGCCCAACTCTGCATGCGTGGCTCTGGCTATCGCCTGGTACGTACCGAACACGACTTGCCTCGGTTAGTGCATCCGAGCCAGGAGCTCCTTTCTTCTTCTTCATATGCCCGCACCATCTGAGGGCGGCGACAGCATATCCCAAAAGTTGTTGCAAACATAGGCTTGACCATTGCAGAACAATAAGAGCTGATCCCGCGCACTGTCGATTTAACGTCCATCGTGTCACCGTGTGGCGAAGCGGCGCGGCACCCAGAAGGGGGTCTGCTGGGACGAGTGGGCCTTACGAAGCCGCGCTGGCCGAAGCGCTGCGTCTCCTCCTCGGCGATGAGCTCCTGACACGGGGGCGCAGAGGTACTGGGACGCTACAGCACGCGCGCGAGCACACGCACACGAAGATATGAACAACAGCTTCCCCGCACGCGCTGGAGCAGAGGGTAGAACAGATTGCGAGGTTGAGTCCAAAGGTGATGGCTGATGTGTTCGGCGGCAAGCGCCCAAGCGTGGTAGCAGCAATCATTTTTTTGTTGCGCGGTATTGCTCGCCTGAGTCTTCGCGTCTTCGCTCCGGCCGAGTCGTCCCGAGTCTTCGCTCCGGTCTGGAATTTCTCTGCAGTGTCAAACAAATCATTCCCTCTTCACATGGCGGTAGAAAGCATGCGGACAATACTGGTGAATGGCGGCCTCGGGTGCGCACAGCGAGCGGCCCATCTTGCCGAAAAGCTCGGAGCAGATCTGCCCATTTCTAGCGAGCACCCGAAGGCTTGAAAGCATGCAGTGTCGAAGCTAAGGATGCGAGGCGGGCGTGAGCACCCTCTGGCCACATTGCAAACAATTGCACCAAAACGTGCCACGCAGCACTAATCACTGCGAGCATCTGTGTACACAGGATAGTGGTAGCAGCAGTCATGGGAGCCTTTGGAGGCCCCCGCGAAGCCCCCAGGGTCAATACAAACAAAGAGGTCCAAGAACCTCGATCCGACGAGGACGACTGGACGGACGACGATGGCGACGAGAATGATGACGACGAAGATGGTGGCGGCGAAGGCGGACAACACCGCGGCGGCCGTCTCCTCCGTGACCAACCGTCGGTCTACGAACGTTTCCTCTGGCAGAAGGTTCTCGAAGATCTTGCGCCGCTCCTGGCGGCAGGGTGGGGGAAGAAAAGAAAACAGCAAAGTGAAACAACGCACACACGTACAACAAGCAACACGCGTGCAAACAAGCAACACGCGGAAACAACGCTTGAGATGTCTTCGTAGAAACTGCTAAGGATCATGTCGGATCAGGCCAGTCGACGAGAAACCTTCCACAAGAAACCCAGCCCTGAGACCCCAGGACGTCCATTGATTTTTGGTTTGGGCACGTCACGCCTTCTGCAGCAAAACCATCGAAACCCAAGAAACCCAGGGCACCCCGGAGGCAAGCAAGGTGTTTCTTGGCATGGGTCTCTACTGTATCGCTCTGCTCCGCAGGACATGAGGCATGGAAAAGCTCTGAACGCTGACGCTTGGCGACTGAGACGCCCTTCTCGGCGGCGCGCCCAGGAGGGGAAAGCTGATGGGGCGGTTCTTTTTTCAGATTGCCTCCGGCCGTCCGAGAAGAGCTCTGAGCCTTGTTCCACGCCAAGTAGGGCTCCTCTACAAGAAGAACAAGCGCAATAAAAATGTACTCTTGGCGCTCTGCGCAGATTCTTGGATCTGCGCTGGACCCCCCTCCCTGGCGCGCGGAGCGCGCCAGGGGCGGCGCCGGAGGCGCCGCCGGGGGGGGCCCAAGCGCGGATCCAAGAAATCCGCGTGGAGCGCCGAACGTTTATGTTCATGGCGTCTCTTCTTCTTCGAAAGAAGGGCCTCTCCGAAGGCCACATGGCTTCTGATAAGCCCCGCCACCTTCTGAGAAGGCCTGCCCCCTCGGCGCGCCGCCGCGCTGAGTTGTGCCGCGCCGAAGCGGGCGGGCCAGAGCCAGCAGCGCGACACACTGTGAGCACACGTGCCTGCTCGTAAAAAGGCTGATGAGGAGGAGGTTCGAGATTCGAGGTCCGGGGAGGATGATGATGATGACAGGAGGAGGAGGGGGAGAAGGAGGAGGAGAAGGAGGTTTCGGAATTCTGGTTTTGTTGGCATGTTCCCAGACATACTGTGTGGTACTGCGCTCTCGTGTTGAATTGGGAGCGCCCCGCGTCTCACTCCTCACTTCTTTCCCCTCCACCTCCGTCTCCTGCCTCCTTCTCCTCTGCAGCGTTCATACGACTCGTGCCCCCACAGAGAGCTGCACCGAAGGCTCCGCTTTTAGCGCCTCGTAAGCACCCCTCCTTTTCGTATACCCCTCGCAAGTAGCAGGGCCGACTTACGTGCCCGCGCCAAATTTTGGTACACACCTCGAACAATTCGTGTCCCCATTTGGAGCTCCACCGAAGGACTCAGTGGCAACTAGGATGCCGCCGAGATGACCCCCTCTAAGTCGTCGTCGGCGTCGTTTTCGTCTGCCCAGGATGGCCTCGATGTCCGCGCCGTAAATCAGGTCAGCCTTGACCTTCTCCTCCGGCGCAGCCACGCTGGCGTCCAGAGTGCGCAGGAGGGGCAGCCGGTGCAGGACCTGATCTCTCTCTCTCTCTCGCTCGATGCTGCCCACCGTCCTTGTTCACGGTGCTGCCCGCGCTGGTGCCGCTGCAGCTGCTGCAAGTGCTGGTGCCGACGTCGACGACGACGACGTCGACGACGACGACGATGACGACGTCGACGACGACGACGACGACGACGACCGACGACGACGGCGACGACGACGACTGCGACGCCGAAGCTGACAAACGAGGGCGACGCCGATGCCGACGCCGACGACAACGGCAACGACGACGACGACGACGAGTATTCGCGCTTGTGCTCCATTCTGGTGCTGGTGCTGGTGCTGAGGCTGGCGCCGATGCTGCCATCCGCTCTTCCCCGTCCTCCCAGCCCGTCCCACTCCAGCCCCCCTACCCGCCGCTCCACTGCACTCGTCCCCAGCACCCATGCCGTCCCCCATGCCGTCCACTACCTTGCCATCGCTCGGACCTTCATTCCCCGTGCCCTTTTTTCGATGTCGTGCGTTTACTGTTCGCGAGATGATCCTAGATGTTCCTCGACGGCCCTAGCCGAAAAAAAATGCACACGTCCGAGCGATGCCAAGCTATCTCCTCGTCTTCATCGTGAACTCCGCCTCACTCCGCCTCATTCTGCTCCACATCGTCCCAAAAACACTATCTGCGTCGTCCCCAGATTGGGAACGCCACGGCGCAGAAAAGAACCTGATCTTTAGACGCGCCACGCAGCAACGCTCAGAAAGCAAAACAAAACTACTACTCTACTCTACTCGTCACGTGGCAACGCCGAGTGGCGACCAACAACACGATTCCGCTCCTACTCGTCACGTGGCATCGCCTAGGGAGACGAAAGCAGCACTCCTTTCTACTCGCCACGTGGCGACGCCTTTGGGCGAAAACAGATTCCATTCTGTTCCGGGCGTGGCAACGCTGCGGGGAGGAACAGGTCGTATTCCACTCGACTCGCCGCGTGGTGACGCCTCGGGGGAAGGGGCGAACAAGTGAGCCACTCGATGCCCTGAGTTTCAGATCTTCCGCGTGGGTCGGCCGCACTGACTCATTCGGAGTTCCCGATTCTAGGGCATGCGATTACCCGCCTGCTCGCCACGTGGCATCGCCTGGGAGCGAAAGAGTAGCACTCCGCCCTACTCGCCGAGTTGCAGCGCCTTTGGGAGCGAATTCCAAATTCCGCTCCATTCCTGGTGTGGCAACATTGCGGGTAAGAACATATAGAATTCCACTCGACTCTTCGCATAACAACCCCTCGAGAGCGAAACAACGCTCCACTCGATGCCCTGATTTCCACTAGAAAGCCCCAAGAGGCCCAACGGGGACCCCAAGCAAGCCGCTTAAGATGGTCTCAATCGTGCCTCTGGAACCTCTCACAAGAACATGCTTCCAAAGCCCGACTTCTCATACTCCTTGCCATCGTCCGTTCCTTCCTTCCCCGTTTCTTGCCCCCACCTTCTTCTCATCTTCCTCATGCCCAATTCCTCCTCATCATCTTATTCCCCCTTCTCTTCCTTCTCTCTTGTTCCTCCTCCTCTTCCTCCTCCTCCTCCTACTACTACTACTACTGCTACTACTAAAACTACTACTACGCCGACGACTACTAATACTACTGCCACTACTACTACCACTAGTCGTAGTAGTAGTAGTAGTAGTAGTAGTAGTAGTAGTAGCAGCAGTAGTAGTAGTAGTAGTAGTAGTAGTAGTAGTGGTAGTAGTAGTAGTAGTAGTAGTAGTAGTAAGAGTAGCAGTCGCAGTAGTAGTAGTAGAAGAAGTAGTCGTAGTAGTAGTAGTAGTAGTAGTACTGCTACTGCTACTGCGACTGCTACTCTTACTACTAAGACTACTACTACTACTGCTGCTGCTGCTGCTACTCGTACTACTACTACTACTACTACTACTTCCTACGACTGCTACGACTACTACTACGACGACGACGACTACTACTACTACTACTACTACTACCACGACTACTACGACTACTACAACTACCACTGCGACTACGACTACTACGACCACTACTACTACCACTACTACTACTACCACTACTACTACTACTACTACTACTACTACTTCTACTACTACTACTACTACTACTACTACTACTACTACTTCTAATACTACTACTACTACTATTACTACTACTACTACTACTACGACTATCACTACTACTACTACTGCTACTCTACGACTACTACTACTACTGTTACAGCTACCACTACTACTACTACTACTACTACCACTACGACGACTACTACTACTACTACTACTACTACTACTACTACCACTACTTCTACTACGACTACTACTACTACTACTACTACTACTACTACTACTACTACTACTACTACTACTACTACTACTACTACTACTACTACTACTACTAACTACTACTACTACTACTACTACTAACTACTACTACTACTACTACTACTACTACTACTACTACTACTACTACTAACTACTACTACTACTACTACTACTACTACTACTACTACTACTACTACTACTACTACTACTACTACTACTACTACTACTACTACTACTACTACTACTACTACTACTACTACTACTACTACTACTACTACTACTACTACTACTACTACTACTACTACTACTACTACCTACTACTAACTACTACTACTACTACTACTACTACTACTACTACTACTACTAACTACTACTACTACTAATACTACTACTACTACTACTATACTACTACTAACTACTACACTACTCTACTACTACTACTAACTACTACTACTACTACTACTACTACTACTACTACTACTACTACTACTACTACTACTACTACTACTACTACTAACTACTACTACTACTACTACTACTACTACTACTACTACTACTACTACTACTAGTACTACTACTACTACTACTACTACTACTACTACTACCACCACTACTACTACCACTATCACTACCAATACTACTACTACTACTACTACTACTACTACTACTACTACTACTACTACTACTACTACGACCACTACTACTACTACTGCTACTACTACGACTACTACTACTACTACTACTACTACTACTACTACTACTACTACTACTACTTCTACTACTACTACTACTACTACTACTACTACTACTACTACTACTACTACCCATAAATACTACTACTCTTCCTCCTATCCCGAAAATGATCCCAGGAGGTCGAGCAAGGGAAATACCTCCGCTAGCTCTCCAAGAGGCCTCAAGAGAGCCTCAAGGTGGCCCAAGATTGCTGGGCATGGCTCCAGATAGCCTCCGACACCCTCTAGCCGAACATGGCTCAAGATATCCTCCAAGAGGCCTTAAAGAAAGCCCCCTGTCGTGTCTGGATGGGATGGTGGTGTTTTTTTTCAATCAGCGGCCGCAGGCGGGAGCGCCAGCGGCGAGTCCAGTCAGAGCGGACCGCGCAAAGACAAATAACCTAAACCGGTGGGCCGAAGCCTCACGCAGCACCTCGGCGGGCAGGCCGGCGAGGGGAGGGGGCTGGCTGTAGCGGAAAACCAGTGCTGCCAGGGATGGTGGTGCTACTTTTTAGTCAGCGGCCGCGGGCGAGCGCGCCGGCGGCGTGTCAGGTCGAAGCGGGCCACGCAGAGACTGATTATGCAAAGGACGCGCGGGAAAAACAAACCGAGCGACGCGCGAGAATGGTGGTGAAACTTTTTTGTTTGGCGGCTCCGAGGAGAAGTCCAGGAAGCGGGGCGGGCTCGGCTGGGGCACAGGGCGGGATAAGAATGGTGGTGATATTTTTTTGTTCGGCGGCCCGCAAGGAAAAGTCCAGAGGGCGTGTTAATCAACGGCAAAGGGGCGCGATGTCAGATAATTCGGGAGGGCCAGGCCACAAGAGGAGGAACCCGCCAAGAGGGCGCCAACCCACGCGCGTGCAACATGCAGAGCAGGACGACAACGGCACCATGCCAGAATATTAGACCGACCGGCAACGACAACGACACCATGCCATTATACGCGAGGCGTCAAGAATTTTCAATTCTAGGGGAAGGCCTGCGCGGGTCGATGGGCGCGCGGAGCGGCGACGCCACGGGGCGAGAAGAAACTGCTCCGCTCGTCGCGCCCCGCGAAAAGGAAGCAAAACCACGATCCCAATCGAGTCGTCACGTGGCAACGCCGAGTTGTGACCAACAAAAGCAAATTCACTCCGTGGCAGCGCCATGGGGAGAGGGCGCAAAAACACCACTCCACTCTACTCGCCAGGTGGCAACACCTTGGACACGAAAACAGATTCCACTCTACCCCGGGCGTGACAACGCCGCGGGGAGGAACACATCGCATTCCGCTCGACTTTCGGGGTAGCAGCGCCTCGGGGGAGCGACAACAATGCTTCGCTCGATGACCTGACTTTGAGATCTTTCGCGCGGATCGGCCGCACTGACACATTCAGATTTCTCAATTCTAGGGCAGGCCTGCGCGGGCCGATGGACGCGCGGAGCGGCAATGCCACGGGGCGAAAAGAAACTAATCCGTTCGACGCGCCACGCGGCAACACGCGGGGAACGAAACGAAGCGAGTACCCTACTCTACTCGTCGCGTGGCAGCGGGATCCCTGGAAGTCCCGACCCTTTCACTAGGAGCCGACTGTTCGTCCTGGGTCGTTTTCTGACGAGCCAGGAGCCCGTCAAGATTCCTGGAGAGCGACAACACTGAATAACCTCCTGGGAGTACACAAGGCAACCGGCAAGGATAGGGAAGAGAAAAGAACACGAATTCCGGATTTCACCGATCGAGAGTCTAGGTTCCGCGTTTCTGCGAAAATCTAAATTCCGATGCGAATTCAATGTTTCGAAGCGAATTCCAGCGTTCGCAGCTGAAGCCGATGCCGGGTTTCGACCAAACGGATGCCAGGTTTGGGGACGATTCTGGAGTTGAGCTCTCCACCGCCCCAAATACGATCAAGAAGCTGCTGCTTAGCGTGCCACGGCGGCGGCCCTGGCACCTCGCTATGCCTTGCGAGCTGATAGCGTGTCGATCAGCATCGTGGGGCGAGGTGCTGGGAAGAGCTCGGGATGCTGAAGCTTGGTGACCGAGGCGTGGGAAGCTTGTGGCGCCTACGCATGGTGTGACCTGGAGGCGCGACACGCTCAACACAGGTGCGCGACCGTGTGCCGACTTCCACGGGCAACGAGCGACGGGCATCTCTCACATACGGCGCTCTTTTTCCCCTGGGCATGCTGCAAACAGCGACGGCGCGGCCCAAGTGCCCTGAGGTGAACCGACCCCACGGACACCAGAAGAAGCTCTAGCATACTAACAGTAGCGTGCTGGAGCAACCTCCTGCCTGGAAGGGAAGAGGAGGGAGGATAAGGACAGGGAGGAAGGAGGTAAGGAGGTGGGACTGTGGAAACAGGAAGGAAGCGGATGGTGGAGGGGAGAACGCCTCCTCCTCCTCTCCTCCCGCGCG